TGGCATCCACAAATCGAGCTGACATTTTGGACAATGCTCTGATGAGGCCAGGCCGGCTGGACCGACATGTCTTCATTGATCTCCCCACGCTGCAGGTCAGTGCCGGGGGCTGCCTTCCCCTCCTCCTGCTCTGCCTGTACTGCCCCTGCAGTCCCACAGGTGTCTGACCATCAGGACCAGGCATGGAGTGGACCTGCTGGAGCCACAGGTGCTGAGGGGCAGAGCTGTGTGGCCTCCTGCCCTCCTGGGGTCAGGGTTCTTCTTGTTTTGGAGCGTGTGCGCCCACTGGAGGTTTTTCTTCTGCATCTGGAATTGAACATAGCCTGGGTTGAGTTTTATAGCAAATTCTTGGGAACTAACTCCAGGGTAGGAAAAAGCATAGTTTTTTGTTTTTGTTTTAAGATTTATTTATTTGAAAAACAGAGCGCTTCCATCCACTGATTAACTCCCCAAATGGCTGCAACAGCCAGGGCTGGGCCGGGGGACGTCAGGAGCCAGGAGCTGCTTCCTGGTCTCCCATGTGGGTGCAAGGCCCAAGGACTTGGGCGTCTTCCACTGCTTTCCCGGGCCATTAACAGGAAGCTGGGCTGGGAATGGAGCAGCTGAGACTCGAACTAGTGCCCGTACAGGATGCTGGCACTGCAGGTGGAGCTTAACCTACACACCATAGCACCAGCCCCAGAAAACGTGTTCCTGCAGGGCTCCCTTCCTTGTCGAGCTCTGAGGGAGCCCCAGGTCCCCCAGCCCTCAAGTGCTGTGCAGCTGCCCGTGGAAGTGGGGAGGGGCAGGTCCTGGTGGCCTGGGGCCTCTTGTCCCATGGCTGCCGCCCTCTCAAGCCTCCCATGGGCAGCCCCCCCAGTCGCAGGGCCTTTGTTGAAGCCCTGGGTGGGGGACTAAGCCCTGAGTTTGTTGATGCCACCGTCAGCTGCAGTGCAGGGAGCAGGGCTGGTGCACCTGGCTGCCCTCTGGGTCTCGGGCTGCCGCTGATCCCACACAGAGGAGAGAGGCGAGGCCTCGCCCCTCCAAGCCCAGGGCTCCCCTGGGAGGCTGTCACTCTGAGTGTGTAGGAGACATTTAGTAGACCCCTGCTGTGTCTGTTGTGTTTCACCTTAAGTTCTATTGATTTTTTCTTTTTCTTTTTAAAATGCTGCTTGTGGCTCTAAACTGGTTTCCCCAGAGGTTCCTGTGGGCCTCTCCCCACCACGTCACAGTGTGGGGTTAGAGCTCCTCCACGTCTCCCCCCGCTTCCCTGCAGGAGAGGCGGGTCCCCCCCACCCCGTGTCACAGTGTGGGGTTAGAGCTCCTCCACGCCCCCCCCCCCCACGTCACAGTGTGCAGTTAGAGCTCCTCCACGTCTCCCCCCCCCTTCCCTGCAAGAGAGGCGGGTCTCCCCCCCACCCTCCACCCCCCGGCGTCACAGTGTGGGGTTAGAGCTCCACGTCTCCCCCCCCCCTTCCCTGCAGGAGAGGCGGGAGATTTTCGAGCAGCACCTGAAGGGTCTGAAGCTGACGCAGGCCAGCAGCTTCTACTCCCAGCGTCTGGCAGAGCTGACCCCAGGATTCAGCGGTAGGTCCTGCCCCCGCAGGCTTCTCTGGGGCCCTGGTCGTGACACACCTCCCAGGGGAGACCCCATGGAGGGCAGCAGGATGTGCGAATGACGTGGAGGCCACTTCTTCCTCCCTATGGGTGGGAAACCGGGGGCGTTGACTCCACAAGGCAGCAGGTGTGCCTCCCTGTGGCCCTGCCTTCAAGGCACGGTGGGACTGGCTGCTGTGTTGGCTGTGGTGTCTTGGGGACTGTCCTTCAGGTCTTTTCTGTGCATCCGTGAGACCTCCCTGCCCCCCTCACAGTCCCACATAGTTTCTGTATGGCCTCACTGGCAACCTTAATGTAAATGAAAATGCCTTTTACTGTGACACCACCTCTTTTAAAGTCATTAACTCGCGTCTTATGGACCTGAGTGTTCTGTCCAGTGGTGCCTGTGTGAAGTGTTATGTGGGCGAAAGCCTAGGAATATGTGGGGAAGCTTGGTACTCAGTTACAGGGAGAAGTGCACACCGGAGAGAGACAGGAAGGCCTGCAGTGGGTGGGAACGGTGCTTGGTCTGTTGCTTCTTTAGGGGGTATTTATTTGAAAGGCAGAGTGGGGACCGGCACTGTGGTGTAGCAGATAAAGCCACCACCTGCATTGCCAGCATCCCATATGGGTGCAGTTCTAGTCCCGGCTGCTCCACTTCTAATCCAGCTCTCTGCTGTGGCCTGGGAAAGCAGTGGAGGATGGCCCAAGTCCTTGGGTCCCTGCACCCACGTGGGAGACCTAGAAGAAGCTCCTGGCTCCTGGCTTCGGATCGGCGCAGCTCCGGCTGATGCAGCCAATTGGGGAGTGAACCAGCGGATGGAAGACCCCTCTTTATCTGTCTGTCTGTCTGTCTGTCTCTCTCTCTCTCTCTCTCTCTCTCTCTGCTTCTCCTTCTCTTTCTCTTTCTGCATAACTCTGACTTTCAACTTTCAAGTAAATAAATAAATACTAAAAAAAAAAAAAAAAAAAAAGGCAGACAGAGAGAGATCTTTCATCTCCTGGTACACTCCCCAAGTGTGCACACAGCCAGAGCTGGGCCGGGTGAAGCCAGGAGACCAGAACTCCATCCGGGTCTCCCACATGGGTGGCGGGCCCGAGCACTTGAGCCACCATCTGCTGCCTCTGAGGTGCACTAGCTGGGAGCTGGATGGGCAGAGCAGAGTGTCCAGGACTTGGACCGGCTCTGAAATGGGGCACGTGCATCCCTAGTGGCAGCCTGACGTGGCCTCCATCGAGTGCAGTGCGGCGACCCCCTGCCTCCTGGCCACCTCTCCCCCCAACTTTGCCCCTGTTCTCCTCGGGCTGCTCGTCCCCTGGTCTGCTGTCGGCAAGAGCCTTCCCTCCCTGTCCCTTTGAGATCAGGCAGGGAGGGGCACACATGCCCCGTCCTCTGCCCGGGCCCATGGTACATGTTGACAGGTGCGGACATCGCCAACATCTGCAATGAGGCTGCCCTGCACGCCGCGAGAGAGGGACACACGTCCGTCCACACCTTGAACTTCGAGTATGCCGTGGAGCGTGTCATTGCTGGTATGGCCGTCATACCCCTTTGTCGGGGCCTGCATTCTGAGGAGGGCTCGAACCCAGAGATGCTCAGTCTGAGGCCAGTCCTATCCAAAATCAAGATAGATACGGCTGCAGGTGGGGCCTGATGCAGGCTGGCTGTCGTGTGATTTAATTAAGTGGCAAGGTATTATTGGAGAAGAAATGGAACGTTTTTCAGTTTGGTAGGTTGTGTCTATACAGTAGACTTGGCTTTCTTTAGTTTAAGACCGACCCAGCAGGTTTATGTCAGAGCAGGCTCGTTCTTCAAATAGGAGTAGGACATGCCTTCCCAACCCACCTGACCCTGGAGAGAGGCCGAGCTCCAGCCCAGGGGCAGTCTGCACCCACAGGCCTGCTGGGCTCTCCCCAGGCTGCAGAGGGAGGCCTGTGCACTCTGCCTGATGGATCCCAGCTCTTGGTAGGAGGCCAGAGCTGATCCCGCTCCTAGGGCACACGCCCGAGCTGGTCCCCGCTCCTAGGGCACACGCCCGAGCTGGTCCCCGCTCCTAGGGCACACGCCCGAGCTGGTCCCCGCTCCTAGGGCACACGCCCGAGCTGGTCCCCGCTCCTAGGGCACACGCCCGAGCTGGTCCCCGCTCCTAGGGCACACGCCCGAGCTGGTCCCCGCTCCTAGGGCACATGCCCGATTGTCCCCGCTCCTAGGGCACACGCCCGAGCTGGTCCCCGCTCCTAGGGCACACGCCCGAGCTGGTCCCCGCTCCTAGGGCACATGCCCGATTGTCCCCGCTCCTAGGGCACACGCCCGATTGTCCCCACTCCTAGGGCACACGCCTGAGCTTGTCGCCACTCCTAGGGCACACGCCCGGTTGTCCCCACTCCTAGCATGGACGCCTGTACCTGTGCTGTACTGGAAATGCATTGCAGCCTGTGTTCAGGGAAGCTCAGTAGTAAGGCCTGTGTTCCCTGGAGACAGCTCTAGTTGAGGTGTCTGCTGTCCTCGCCAGTGTCTAACACAGGATCTGTAGTCTTACAGGAAGTGGTGGTAGACAAGTGTAGTGTCAGGCCGTACCACACATCTGACCTTACAGCTTGTTCACATTGTGGACTTTGGAAACTTAGGGGTGTTTAGGCTTTGAATGGGGCTCAGCAACACTTTTAGCTGGGGAAACGTGATACAGGGACTGTCTTCCCGCTACGGGTGTCACCTCCCAAGGGGAGGTTAGTGAGCCCAGAACCGGGACTTGGGAGCCTGCCCTCCAATCCGGCCCTCTCTGGGTCCCAGGAGGGGGCACTCCTGTCGACGAGGACTGCATTGCTAGAAGCGCCATGTGCCCCGTCAGCTCTCCACCTCACGAGTGCCCCTGGGACTGTGTTGTCAGGAGTGGTGGCTGCGGTGAGGCTGTGGGGAGAGGACTTGCTCTGGCAGCACAGGTGGAAGTAGCACCAGGCTAGGAGAGCCTGGCTCGCCCACTGGGTGTGCAGTACCCGGACACTGACCCTGGGCCTTCTTGCAGGGACTGCCAAAAAGAGCAAGATCCTGTCAAAGGAGGAGCAGAAGGTGGTTGCGTTTCACGAGTCGGGGCACGCGCTGGTCGGCTGGCTGCTGGAACACACCGAGGCTGTGATGAAGGTGAGCCCTGGGCTCGCCTGCCTCCTCGCAAGCCGGGGGACGGGCTGGGAAGCAGCTGTCCCAGACAGTGGGCAGCAACCAGGGCTGGGTTGTGTGTCCACGTCTCTGCTGTGGCTTCAGCTGCTAGGTGCCTGACTCAAAGTGGTGTGCGACTTGGGCTCACTGTCCCCTCCACCCTCAGATGCCAAATGAGCAGCGTCATGCTTACTGTCAGCTCTAAAATGAGTCCTGATACTGAGAAGAAGCAAATGCAGTTTGTCCTTTTTCTAAAAGAATGATTTAGAAATCATCTTGTAATGTATATATTAGCTATTTTTTTAAAGATTTTATTTATTTGAGAAGTGGTGCTGCAGAGAGAGAGAGAGAGAGATAGGCAGAGAAGGGTCTTCCATCTGCTGCTTCACTCCCCAAATGCCCTCAACAGCCAGAGCTGGGCCGATCCAAAGCCAGGAGCCAGGAGCTTCTTCCAGGTCTCCCACGTGGGTGCAGGGGCCCAAGGACTTGGGCCATCTTCCACTGCTTTCCCAGGCCACAGCAGAGAGCTGGATTGGAAGTGGAGCAAGCAGGACATGGAGGCTTAGCCTACTATGCCACAGTGCCAGCCCCGTTGTACGTATTTTTAAAATCTGAAAGAGTGAGAGAAAGAGATCTTTCATCCGCTGGTTCACTGCGGAACCAAATGCCCACAACAGTTTAGACTGAGCAAGACTAAAGCCTGCGGTCAGGAACTCTATCAGGTCTCCCATGTGGATGGCAGGGACCCCGGTACTTAAGCCATTACCCTGCCTCCAGGAATCTGGGTCAGAAGCAAAGGCAGGGCTTGATCCAAGGCACTCTGGTATGGGATGCAGACGTCCCATGTGGTGGCTTAACCTGCTGCACCTCAGTGCCTGCCCGGAGAGCACATTTGTTTCCATCGAACGGTTGTGTTGTCACCAGCTTCCAGAAACGTGGGTGTGTGACCAGGGGTCCTCATGGCCCCTTTAGGGAAAACATAACCCTTGGATGTGGGTGCTTCATCTTCACTGCTGAGGGTGTGGGCTGTAGTTGTGCAGAGACCAGCGGCCCCACGTGGAGGTGCTGAGGAGCCCTGCGGGTGGCTGGAGGCACGCTGGCAAAGGCAGCTGCAGACACGGAGGCCAGCTCGGCCATCGGTGTTGTCTGTGCCGTCTTTCGGAGAAGCCGTCACAAAGCCGACTGGTCCCCCTGCTTCTCGTTGAGGAGACTCAGGGAGACAAAGCATGCGCTGCTGCTCCGTGCCTGCGTGCCGTGAGGCGAGCCAGATGCTCCCCGGGAGCTCCTCACTCGACTTCACAGAGCGTTTAGGGGCAGGCTTTGCTCCAGCCGGTAGGTCCCAGGTCAGCCCGATTCGAGTCCCAGCTCTTCTGCTCTGACCTGCCTTGCTGCTGTGGTGCCCTGCTCACCAGAGCCTTTGCTGACCGCATTTCACTGGCAGTTTAGCTGTAGACTCAGGACATTCGTGGGCATGGGCTTCCTGCTGCCCTGGCGCTCAGAAACAGCTGGGCCAGCACGAGACCTGCTCCCTTGTGATCTCTCTGTGTTTCCAGTGCAGCTGTGCAGGTGGAGGTGGGACTTGTCCACGTCAGCCTCTCCCTTCTGACTTGCTGTGTGGTCAGCACACGAGGAAGACACACCCTGACAGTGTGTGGACAAGGGCCCCCGTTGGAAACCCCTCTGCTCCTGTGAGCGAGGCCTCTTCCACGTTAGGGCTCTCCCTGCATGCAAAGCTGAGATGGTACACATTTGCCTTCCTGCTCTAGGACCCCCGGGGCAGCCCTGCCGCACCTTGTCCCCACTTCCCTTTAAGCGAGTGTCCTTGTGAGCTCAGGCCACCTTGACCTTCCATAGGTCTCCATCGCACCACGGACAAATGCCGCGCTGGGCTTTGCTCAGATGCTGCCGAGAGACCAGCACCTGTTCACCAAGGAGCAGCTGTTTGAGCGCATGTGCATGGCCCTGGGCGGCCGAGCGTCCGAGGCCATCTCCTTCAACAAGGTCACCTCCGGTGAGGAGCCAGCCCGTGCAGTCTGAGTGCTCTCGGTGCTCCTCCTGCACTGCTGCACTGCTCTGGGGCGCACGGGGTAGAATCGGAGAGAATCAGTGTGATGAAGGTGTGGTTTGGAGGTAATCAGGTATGTTTTAAAAGATGAGCTGTGGTCAAAGGTTTAGAACTAAGCATGGCTTTTTAAATAACTTTACACAGGACAAGCATTTGGAGAGGTTAAAATGCTGCTTGGGATGCCCACACCTCACGTCACAGTGCCTGGTTCTGGTCCCGACCCTGCTTACAGTCTCAGTGTCCCGCTAATGCACACTTCAGGAGGCGACAGAGGATGGTCCCTGCCACCCACATGGAAGACCCAAGTGGAATTCCTGGCTCTTGGCTTGCCTTTGCCCAGCTGCAGCTGCTGTGGACATGTGGGGATTAAACCAGTGGAGGAGAAATATCCGCATTTCAAGTAAATAAATAAAATATTAAAAATAACCATATAGAAACGTCCACGTATGTGCAGACTACACATGCCTTTATGGTTACCTAGTGGTGATGGCTGCACCAAACAGTAATACTGAAGCCCTTGCTGCTCTAAATCTTTACTTCTCTGGATGTCAGGGAAGGGGGCAGGGGACAGGGGAGGGGCCTGGCCTGGCCCAGGGACCAGCAGGTCGTAAGGTTAACTGGTTTGCCTCACACATGCCTGTACTTCAGCCTAGGCACTGCTGTGAAATAAGTCCACAAATTCACCTTCAGTAACTGGTTTTTAAGCAAAATAACATTTCTTAAAGTTTTAAGACTCTGTTTTTCATCTTTAGGATTTATTTATTTACTTGAAGGAAGGGATACAGACAGAAAGAGAGGTCTCTGTCTGCTGGTTCATTCCCCAAATGGCCGCAACGAAGGCAGGAGCTTTGTCCAGGTCTCCCATGTGGGTGCAGGGGCCCAGGCACTCGGGCCAGCATCCACTGCTTTCCCAGGTGCACTAGGAGGGGCTGCATTGGAAGAGGAGCATCCAGGACTCAGTGCCCCCGTGGGATGCCAGTGTCACAGGCGGCCGCGCCACCCCATGCCATGCCACAGCACCAGCTCCTCAGAGTCCTTTAAGGAACAGGCACTGGTAGAGATGGGTCTGGCACAGCAGGAGCACTCGTGGAGATGAAGCGGGTGGGCAGTGCAGCGCCCGTCCCATGAGTATCAAGTTCTGATTTCTTGACCCCACCCTCCAGGGGCGCAGGATGACCTTAGGAAGGTCACAGGCATTGCATACTCCATGGTGAAGCAGTTCGGGATGGCCCCTGGCATCGGGCCCATCTCCTTCCCCGAGGCACAGCAGGGCCTCCTGGGCATCGGACGGCGCCCCTTCAGCCAGGGCCTCCAGCAGATGATGGACCACGTGAGTCTGCATAGGCCCACCACCACACCCCTTGCCCACAGGGTCTGCTGCCCAAGGCCCTCCAGCTACTGGCTACCTCAGCCGCAGCCACCTGGAGCCCAGCGCTCTGCTGCAGGCCTGGGCTGTGTTGTCTCTTCCGTCTGTGAAGTTCTTTTTCTTGCGTGAGGTCCTAGATGGCTCTCACGAAACTGTCGATGTGAGTCTAAGAATCTGCAGACTGGACCCGGGGGCCTGTCATGAGGCACCTCCAGCCGCCCTTGCACTCAGGGGTAGCTTGGTGTGGCAGAGGACAGACAGGGCCGCCTGGTGTGCAGGCATCCTGAGCTGGCCTTCCTGGGCCGCTCATTAGGAGAGAGGAGGCGTGGTCTGCACCTGTGTTTCCTGCCTGCCCTTCGATGTTGGGATCAGAACACAGGTGCTGAGTCTGCACGTGTTGGTCAGTGACAGACACCCTCTCCTTGGCAGGAAGCAAAGCTGCTGGTGGCCCAGGCCTACAGACACACTGAGAAGGTGCTGCTGGACAACCTGGACAAGCTGCAGGCGGTGAGTGTGACCATGCACCGGCCAGGCTGACACAGCTGACCAGCCTCACCAGACCCGCGCCCTCCTGCTCTTCTCGAGTCTCCTATGCACAGTTCACGGCAGACAGAACACCCGACACGCGTGACCACTGCCCGACCCAGCCATCGTAGCACTGTCTCATGCATTTCATCCTTCTCCAAGTCTTAAACATTTTCCCTGAAAATTTAAAGCAAATGTTGTGTTGTAGACTTAGAAAAAAGTTGCAGGTGCAGTACAGAGCCCCCACACACTCCTCCAGACTCTGCGTCCTTATAAGTTTCCCTGGGTTTTTCTGTTTGTGTGGTTTTTGTTTTGTTTTGTTTGGTCTTTCCATCTGTTTGAAAGGCAGAGCCACAGAGAAAGAGAAAAAGAGAGAAAAGGAGGTCTTCCATCCACAGGTCCACTCCACAAATGGCCTCAACGGCCGGGGCTTGGCTGATCCAAAGCCAGAGGCCAGGAGCTTTCTCTGGGTCTCCCACGTGGGTGCAGGGACCCAGGCACTTGGCCCATCTTCCACTGCTTTTTCAGGTGCATTAGCAGAGAGCTGGATTGGAAGTGGAGCAGCCGGGACTTGAACCAGTGCCCATATGGGATGCTGGCATGCAGGCAGTGGCTTCACCTGCTGTGCCACAGTGCCAGCCCTGGGTTAGTGCTTTGTCCACCACTTTGTTCACCAGTGACCCAGCAGGGACACACTGCAGTCCACTGGAGTCCGCTTCATTCTCGCTTGTCCAGACACCCAGTTGTCCTTTCATGTCCTCATGTCTCCTCTGGGCTGTGAGTTTCCAGACTGTTCTGGTTCAATATTTTGACCTTGACTGTTTCTTTTGGCTCGTCCAGTGCCCCCCACAGGCTTTGTCTGATGTTTTTGAGCTGAGCAGAGGAGCTGGGGAGAAGCCCCTGACACAGCAGAGGAGGCCGGCTGTGCCTTGGGCGTTCAGGCGGGTGGAGCAACTGGAGGGTGGTGGTTCCTTCACTTCCTCTCATTTCTGAAGGGAGGCAGCTCTCTGTGAGGCCGAGAATGGTGGTTCCAGGTCTTCAGAGTGGGCCCCAGCCGGCAGCCTCCAGTAGCTGCAAGCCGTGCAGAGCCTCAGACTGAGGCCAGGATCTCACCACACACAGGGTGTACACGGAGCCAGGAGCCCACTGCACACAGGGCCCATGCACACAGAGCTGGGGCCATTGCTGTATAATGGGGAGGAGGGGGAGAGGCAGGCTGCTGGCTGGGCAGCTCATTGGCTGTCACGTGGGTTCCTGGGCCTTCGGAGCAGAGCAGGTGAGCCTGCAGCCACAGGTAAATTGCCCATTTCAGCGTTCGCCATTTTGTTTAGAAAACGTGGACGAGTGCTTCCGTCACAAACCAGCAGCGTTGTTTTCACGGGACTGAGCCACCATCATGGTCCCGGGGCAGTGTGGAGGCACAGAAATCCCTCGTCCCCGGAGCACAGGGCCCTCCGCCCTCATGCCTCAGTGTCAGCCGCTCTCCCCAGACAGACGCACCTCGATTGGTGCAGGAAAGTACCATTGCCAGGAAGCAGAGACTTCGAAGGGGGTGGAAAAGCTAATGAGGCTTGCAGCTGGAACCTCAGCTTCCAGGTGGAGACAGGGGGTGATTCTTCGCCTGAGCTGCCTTCCTGCCTCTGCTTCCTGGGAAA